TGCCCAGCTGGGCTGGGCAGGACAGGGGCTGAGGGCATCTGTGGGCCTGGAGACTACGTCTCATCTCTTTCTCCTCAGTGTTTTCTTCATCGTCACCTACCTGATCCTTGCCTGCTGCCAGGGACCCAGGTGAGTCCCAGAGACCTAGACAATGAGCCAAATATGTTGGTAAGAAAAGGGATTCTTTTTCGTTTGGTACCAGGGATTGAACTTGCGATCTTGTGCTTGGGAGGCAGGCAGCAGAACCACTGAGCTAAATTCCAGACTGGTGGAAGAGGGATTCTTTGTAGTGGTTCCAAATGAATTTTTGGATTGTTTTCTCAAGGTTCTTTGTAGTGGTTAAATGGAGACTGACAAGAAATAGTGGTGAGGCAGGAGGACTGTATGTTTGAGACCAGTCTGGGCTATACAGGAGTTCAAGGCTAGCTTATCTTAAAAACAACCCTGTCATAAAAACGACAGGCCAGGGGTGGTGGTGCTTGCCTGTAATCCCAGCACTTGGGAGGCTGAGGCAGGAGGATTGCTGTGAGTCCAAGGCCAGCCTGGGCTACACAGTTGAGTTCAAGACCAGACAGAACCACACAGAGAGACCCTGTCTCAATACAACAACAAAAATATACCGGTGCTGATGATAGTGATGAGGGTGGCTGCTGTCTGGGTGTGTACAAAGTACCGTGTGTAGGATCTATCTAGCCAGCACTCTCACAGCAACCCTGCAGTACATAGAGCATTTTTAAACATGTAACAAATAGGAATGAGAAAAGAGAGGGTGTAAGGAAGGAAACAAAAGAAAAACAAGGTGGGGGGTAGGATGGGGGAGGAGAAGGAAAACCAAATAGCAAGAGCTCAAGGCTCAGAGCCCCTGGACAACTTTCTCATAGTCACAGAGGTGCTCAGTGTAAGAGCTGCAAACAAGTCCTGCTCTTGACTCCAAAGCACAGGTCTGCCCCACTGCCCCACACTACCCTGTGTAAACACCTGAGCAGGAACCAGGCGCCATGTCAGCACCAAGGCAGGGCTGATCCTGCAGGCACAGGGGCCAGCCACCTCCTCCAGCTGAAGGGGCCTCTCCGGCCTGCTTCCCCAAGCCCCTCACCAGGGTTTCTCTTTCTTCAGACGCCGGTTCCCATGGAACATCATCTTGCTGACCATCTTTGTAAGTGTGGAGGGGCAGCGGGAGGGCTGTCCTAGGGAAGGGCTGGGGACACCATTGTAGAAGAACGTCCCTGGCTGTCTCCCCACTTCACCCTGCCTCCCTCTTTCCAACTCAGTCATGTCTCCCCAGAGGCCACTGTGGCTGTCCCCCAAGAGCCAACCCTTCCTTTCTTCCTTCCCTCTCCATTTCTTTTCTCTTCTTTTGTGTGTGTGTGTGTGGTACTGAGAATTGAACCTAGGGCTGGGAATGTGGTGGACAAGTACTCTATCACGGCGCCACATCCAGTCCCTGCTGCTCTTGAGTGTTTTCCTCTTGTTTGTTCTTCCCTAGACTTTGGCCCTGGGCTTCATGACGGGCACCATTTCCAGGTATGTTCAAGGACAAATCATCATTTAGGGTTATTATGGGGGATTAGGTGTCCCCGGACTGGCAGTAATCCATAGAGGTGGATTCTGGACAGGGATGTTCTGAAGGCAGTGGGTTTGAAGTCATTTTTATGTGGCTTATGCCTCTGCCCTCTCTTAATTTCTCCTACCTCCCAGTACATATGAAACCAAAGCCGTCATCATTGCAATGATCATCACTGCTGTGGTATCCATTTCCGTCACCATCTTCTGCTTTCAGACCAAGGTGAGGGCACGGAGGGCCTTCCTCAGCCACCTTTCCTCAGGGCCTTCCTCAGCCACCTTTCCTCGCTGGCCCTTTGGGTTTGGCATGTGAGCAGGCCTGGGAGGGCCTAGACTCTGACAGAGAGGGATTTTCCTTGGAGACCTGGTCCCTTTCCGCTCATATCTGCACCTGCAGATCTGCTTCTTGGCTGTCCTTGGCATGTCATGGCCGCTCCCATTCCCACAGCATCAGGGCTCCCTGGCAGAGGGGCAGGGCCAGTCTGGCTGGGCTGCTTGCTGTGACAGTCATCTGACAAGTATCCCTTTCCCTGGCAGGTGGACTTCACCTCATGTGCAGGCCTCTTCTGTGTCCTGGGAATTGTGCTGATGGTGACTGGGATTGTCACTACCATTGTGCTGTGTTTCAAATATGTGAGTGTCCTGTGATGGTTGAGTCAGTGAAGCCAGCGCTCTTGCACACTTCCTGTAGAGCAGGGCCCCTTCTGGGCCTCAGGGCCTCTGACTTCCGCCAACTGGCTAGCAAAGAAACCAACATGGAAGTGCCATCTTGTGGGGTTAGGATGTAATCAATCGCTCTTTGGAGACAAATAGCCCTGGGAGCCATAACACCTGGACAGTGTCGCTGAGTTCCTATGGGAAGTAGTGGATTAGGTCTAACAGTTGAGACCAGGTTCTGGGAGGGAATCCTGGTCAAAGATGGGCCTGGGTAGAAGGGACTTTGGGGGTCACTGGAATTGATTCTGTCTTTGATTCAAGCAACTGAGGGAGAACACGGGCTCCCAGGCCAGGAAGGACAGTGCTGTTGGGGGAAAGATGAGAACAGAGTGACTACCCATCTGACCATGGGTTGGCTCTGCCCTTCCATAAACAGGCACATGGAGGAGTGTCAGCAGGGCGGTCCCCCAATTTGGATGCTCATCAGGGTAGCTGCGGTGCTTCCATTGCAGCTGTTCTTCAGTCCATCCCTTCTAGAATGGGCTGCAGGAGCCCAGAACCTGGCTGCATGTGCTCTACTGAGTACCCACCTTGGCCTAGGGAAGGTCCATGGTGCCCTTCAGCCATGCATGTTGGGTCTGTCCTCCAGAGCTGTCACTTGACTGCCACCTTTTTCCAGAAGTACAGTGGACAACCTCTGTACCTTGACTAGCTCTAGAGACTGGTTTAGCAAAAACATGCTGTGACTGGTGTTACATGGCACTGTAGGATGGCCTCTGCTTTCACTGCCAAGTATATCGCCATTCTTTTTTTTGGTACTGGGGATCAAACTCAGGACCTTGCACTTGCGAGGCAGGGGGCAGAACCATTGAGCTAAATTCCTGGCCCTATATCGCCATTCTTAATTCCTTCCAGGCTCTAGAAAGGCATGATCAGGATCCCAGAGCTGGCTTACTGGATCTGCCTCCTCCAATGCCCAAATCCCAGGGGTTAGCTGGGTCTTAAGGGCCTGCCCCAGAAGTGCTTTGTTCAGATTTCTAACGCCATCCTCTGTCCCCCTCTCTCCCAGATTTACTGGCTTCACATGGTCTATGCTGCTATTGGGGCCATTTGTTTCACCCTGGTAAGTCTGTACCTGGCTCTAGGAAGGGAAGATGAGAGGTGGAAACTGAATTTAGGTGGCTTGGGACTTGAGAATGGGCCATAGGTTGTCGTTCCTGTCCCCTGTCAGGAGGTTCCAGTGATTTTCTGGGCATTCCCTATGTCTCTTGTTCATACCGCTGGCTGTTAGAAGGCTCAGCAGGCCCTTTGGAGATGACACGGTGATTGGTGGGTGATGTCTGCGGATAGAGGCCATGTGTTATGTTATTTATTAATGAGTTCCCTAAGCATGCTGTATGGCACATGGGCTCCCAGGACAACCCTGGGGCCACTGAGCCCTTGGGTGCTTATTTTTGGCTTCCTTGCCCTGCAGTTCCTGGCTTACGACACACAGCTGGTCCTGGGGAACCGGAAGCACACCATCAGCCCTGAGGACTACATCACAGGTGCCCTGCAGATCTACACAGACATTGTCTACATCTTCACCTTTGTGTTGCAGCTGGTTGGGGATCGAAACTGAGGAGCACCTCTGATCCACCCACACTGGGTGCTTCCTTCTCCAGAGTGCTGGGCCCGAAACCTCTCTTCCCCTCAAGTAATATGCCCAGTTTTCTTTAGTCATGAGGACGGGTGGCCTCTTGTGGTTGTGTGGGAACCTGTCAGAACTGAGGAGAGAGAACTCTTGCCCCTGGTGGTCCTGACAAGGACTAGCCTGAAGATAGTATTTTTTCCCCTCTACCCATGGCACGGCACCAAAATCCTGGGGTGTGGTGTGTGAAAGGAGTCTGGTCTTTAGCTGAAAGGGAATGTGAATGACAGAAGGGCTTCAATGTGAAGCACTTCTTCCCACCTTGCCACGGGCTTCTAGGCTAGGGAGCTTGTGCCGTTTCCCTCCTTAACGCAGCCAACAGAGCCAGATAGCTTGTCCCCAGTTTCTAGATGCAGAGGGCATTGTCCCATATTCCTTGGGCTTGGCACCTCTAAGCCGGGAAGATAGCTCTCCCCATTCCAACCCCATTTGTTTCAGTACCATGTATATGGTGTTTATCTGGGTATGGGTGGGGGAAGAAGAATGAGCACATAAAGTGCAGGGGCCAGCCCAGCAGAGCATCTGTTCTGGGCTTCCTGCAGGCTTGGTTGGTACACAGCAGGCCATCAGAGCCACCTGGGCCGTTCTCCAAAGCTCTTGGGGCCTCCCTAGGGGCTTCTGATTACTGGTCAGACACTTTTGCTTTCTCTGCTTAGATGCTCAGAGCAGAAACTGAGGAGCAATGGTTAGGAAATGGAATGCTTTGTAAGCTCATGGGTGTGGTGAGGAGCAAGGTTGAGGAGACGGGCTGGGGCAAGGAAAATGCTTTAAGGTTCCCCAGCTGATCTGAGAAATACTGAAGTCTAAGAAAACGTGTGTCCTTTCTCTCTGCCAGCCCAAGAAGGGTCCTGTGCAGAAGGCGACAATGTTTGAGTGTGGTCTGAACTCAAGGCTGGGGGATTTTCAACTCCAGCCCCATCTCCCCAGCCAGCCACTGCCTTCTTTGTAATACAAGTGCCTCAAGCTGGAGTGGGGGAGAGGACAGGGTCAGTATTGGGTAGGGGTGGAAACTACATCAGCCCAAGGTATAATTACGACTTCTCTGTTGAGTACTTGATCCTAAATGTATCACACAAAGGGACACAACTAGTAATGTAATAAAGTTTTATGTTTAGCAGTTAAACCCTGTGTGGCTCTGGTTTTCTTTCCTGGAAGGCGTTGGCTCTGGGAGTATCTGGCTGGCTGTCCCCAAAGCATCCACTTCCTTCCTGTGCATTCTGTCTTCTCACAGCTCTTTCTTTCTTTTTTGCCCTATTGGGGATGGTAACCCCTAGGGCCTTGTGAATGCTAGATCTTCAGGCCTTCTCTCAGACCTGTTCTCAGATGACCTAATGAACTTGATTGCAGCTTTTCCTGGTGACAGATGCAACAAGCTGGTGAAGGCTGACAGTTTGGCTGGGGAAAAGGGGAGCTGGACCCTGAAATCCTGGACCTAGAGGTGACCTCTCAAGAGCCACAGTGCTTGACCGCTTTTATGTTGTGGACCCTCTACAATAGCTCAGGAGAGCTAGTCACTCTCTTCCCTGCAAAGCTGTATGAATAGCTGGGCATGGGGGCACACACCTGTAGTCCTAGCTACTCAGGAGCTGAGGCAGAAGGATTGCAAGTCTGAGGCCAGATGGACAACGTGGTGACTTACAGAGACCCTGTCTCAAAATTTAAAAAAAAAAAAAGGCTGGGGATGTAGCTCAATGTGAAGGCCCCAGGTTCAATCCCTATTTCAGGGGTAGGGGACGGAAGCTGTATGTATACATATAATTTTGCCAGTGGAGGAGGGAATTGGCCAGAAGTTCAGAACCTCAGAAATCACTAGTCTAATCATTTATGAACGAGGAAACTGAAGCCCAAAGAGGTTGGATCATTTGAACTCAGCTAAAAGTGTTTTTGCCTTCACATCCTGAATGCCGCCTTTGGTTCTATTACTTGTTTCTCTCTTTTTTTGGTACTGGGAATTGAACTCAGGACCTCGCGCTTGCCAGGCAGGCATGGTGCCACTGAGCTATATCCCGCCCGCCCCACCCCCACCCCCACCCCCATTACTTTTTTCAAGGCTGACTGGAACCAAACCCTCCTGGCAAACAGCTCTGAGGGCTTGGTCCCTAGGTCCAGCCTAGGCTTGTTGAACTTAACGTCTGCAGTTGCCCCACCATCCAGCGGGAACACTGCTCTTTTGTGAGAGGGAGCAGGAATGAGTAACTGGGGCCACCCATTGCTCTTCCCCTCCCCAGGTACTTAGAAACCCGGATCTGTTTCCTTTCCACTCAAACACTCAACTTTATTTGCTTATGGCTGGCTCCTCTATGTGGGAGGGGCAGCAGCTGGCAGCAGCCTGGGCTTCGGGTGCCCTCTGGTGGCTCTCGGAGGTGAAGACCAGAATTGGCCAAACTGGAGGACTTCACAGTCAAAATGCAATCTAAGGGAGGTGGCAGTGCTCCTCAGGGCTGCACCCCAGACCCAACTTTTGTGGATGGGGCATGTTGGGAGGAGGCCCTGAACCTCTGGCTCTCATACTCGCCCGTGTTGGACGCCCGCATGTTCTGCCGAGCCTTCATCTGCTTCAAACGGTCCTTGTCCACTTCCCGCTTGGTGAGGATGAAGAGGAGGATACCACAGGGGAAGCCGAAGGCCCTAGGGGTGGGAGATGTGCATGGGGTTTGGGCAGGGGCCGAGCTAGAGCCAAAGGAGCTGGGGGAAATCATTCTAGCTTTGCCATTTGTGCAAATGTAAATATCTCAAAACTATTAGTCCTCCATGCTGGTTACTGAAGGGACCCAGGTAAATCAGATCCTGCTATTGTCCTGCTTAAGGACCCATAACAGCTCTCCATCCTTTCCTGGCTAAGTGCAAACTCCTACGTATGGCACAAAAGGCCCAGTGTGGTCTGTGCATGATTCACTAGGCAGACCAGCCGCTTTCCTTCTGAGTCTGAGCAAAGGTCCATCTACCTAAACTGCTTATCCCCTCCCAGACTGTTCTCTATTCTCTTTCTGTCTCTTCTATTGTTTCTCTCGCTGTGGATTGCATCCAGCGTTTCCTACATGCTAATCATGTGTTCCACTACTGAGCTACCCCCCAAATTCCCTACCCCTCCCCACCTTTCGAGATAAGGCCAGCTATGTAGCCCAGCCCGGCCTTGAACTCATTATCCTCTCGACTCAGCTTCTGGAGTGTTGGGATTATGGGCATGCACCACTGTCCCTGGCTTTTTCTTCTTAATCTGGGTAACTGTTAGTAGGGATGGCCTTGGTGTGTCAGAAAGAGCACAGAATCAGAAGACCCACTGTGGATTCCACCTCTGGGCCTTACTTCTCTCCTCCGTGAAATGAGGGTGTATTTGTCTTAGAAAGTCTAAAACATTGCTGTACATGGTAAAGTACTGCCTCCTTTTCCTTTAATATTTTTTTCTTTTTTCTTTTCCTTTAATATTGATCACTAATATGTATTAAGGCCAGAACCAGAACCAAATAACAATGTACAGAACAATTTCTAGCTACCACACAACTAATATAACTTCACATGATTTCAGTTAACTAATTACTAGGACTTAGGCCTCAGCCAAAGCTCCCAAAAGGGAAGATGAGGCTAGGGACCCAAATTTGAATCAGACCGGATCAGCTCACCCAACAGAGAACCTAGGCTCCCCAATTCCATATATTTTCTGACCTCCCCTTCCCTACTCCTCTGAGATTTCACTCCTTGAGCCCAGCAATACTATTTCCACAACCTTGGATTGGGCTCACCACCTGAAACTCAGAGATGTTAAGGGTCCTGCCCACCCCTGGGTGTACCCCTATTGGTGGGAAAAAGGATAGTCAAAACTCACCAGGCTAGTCCCACAGCTTTCATGGGGTTCCGCCCCCTCTTTCTAGGGATGTACTCCAGTTCAGGGGGTAGGGGCTCCAGTTCCTCCTTGCTCTCTGGGGAGCTGTGGCTCTGCAGTGCTCTGGTCCTGTTCTGAGAAGCCTTGTTAGCTGTGGCTCCTGAGAGGATCCCTGTGGATGGAAGTAAGGAAGGTCAGTAAGGAGGGTGAGAAAGTCAGTAGGAGATGGGCAAGGGCTGGGGAGGAGCAGGAGACGTCTAAAAAAGGGAGTTACTGCAGTTTGGAGTAACAAGTGCTAAGGAGAATCCATAGGGAAATAGGAAAATTGCCATCAAGGTGACATCTTTGGAAGCCACTTTCACTTCACTGCGGGCTCATCACCCTGGTTCCAGGAGAGCGAGCTTCGCTGCTGTTCTTCATTTCAGATGACAGGATGGGAAGGACTGCAGAGGGACTCACATAAGACGTACGAAGAAAATCCGGGAAAGGTTTTAAAACTGCAGAACGTTGGCACGGGAAGGGAGCTTAAAGGTAATCTACTACATCCCCTCTTGTTAAAGAAGAGGAAACTGGAGCAACGAGAGACGAACTGCTTCGTCCAAGGTCAAACTGCTAATTACCCAGGGCTAGAACCCAAGCCTCCAGAAGCCAAGGGCTCTTCTCTCTGCACTGCGGTGAGTGTGAAACATCTGGAGCGCGGGAGTCTAAAGACTGTCTTAGGGCTCCTACTTGCAATAGAATCCCAGAAATGTCGTGTAAGCCGAAGGAATGGACTGGGTGACCTCTAGAGAGCATCTTTCACCCCCAGACTCTTAAGATTCTGAAGAGAGGTGGGGGCAGGAACTGGCACCCCTGCCTTTCTGCTATAATCGGGCAGATGTGATAGACAAGAGAACTCCTGTAGTTTTGCCCTCCCCGGGGTCCCTCTCCTTACCCCGGAGGACGCGGGCATTTCTCGCCCCCCGGCCCTTCAGCGCCGTAGCAGCTACCACCGCAGCCATGTTCAGATCCCGCCCCCCCTTCAGCGCGCTCCCCGCCGGGAATTGTAGTTTGTGTAAGGGGCCTCCCCCACTCCTTCCGACCTGCCTACAGACCAGAAACTACATCTCCCAGAAGCTCGAGGGAGCGGGCCCAGGAGAGCTAGTCTTCCCAGGAGACCCCGGAGGCGCGCACGCTCGCTTGTTTCCCTCCTGTTGGGGGCGGAGTCAGGGCGGGCGGAGTTTGCACTCTCCCCGCCACGCCCCGGGCCCCCCCTCTCCCAACTCTGCCCTATGATTGGTGATCCAGCCGGACAACCCTCGTCACCATTGGTCGGGAAGCCGTCGCTCTTCCTGCTGGGGAGTCGCCTAAGGCTACTTCCTCCCGGGAGGAGGGGCTCGAGTTCCGCGTCGTCGCGCAGAGCTGACTCTGGGAGGCGTTCGGGCCCAGAGAAGTGGTTCGGCCGCTTGCGCCGCATGGAGTCCGAATCGGACAGCGGGGCTGCCGCTGACACCCCCCCGCTGGAGACCCTAAGCTTCCATGGTGATGAAGAGATTATCGAGGTGGTAGAACTGGATCCCAGCCCTCCAGACCCTGGTGAGAACTGCCGTTGCTGGGGCCATGGGACAGGAGGCGCTCACCCCTGGCCTCTGACCCCTGTGTCTCCCCCCTCCCCATCACACCCCACCGGTCATGCCTGCCGACATCCCTCTCCCTGTCCCCAACCCACCCCCACGTTAGTTCTCAGGCCCGGCGGGGTGGGGGTTCCCTGACGCCTCCCTTGGCCCTTCCCCTCACACACCCCCTTCCCATCATGCCCTCGGCCCTCCCTTCCCACACGGTCGCTGGCCAACCCCAGGTCTTAAGACTTCGCTTCGCATCCTCCGCCCATGCATCCCCGTCTCCTGCCCTTCGTGCTCCCGTTACACCCCATCCGTCTGACCCCTCCTCAGCCTCTGGCCACAGGACCCACCCCAGCCTTGGTCTCCTTAGCCTTCTCCCCAACCCCCTAAAGCCTCCCGAGCCCCACCTTTTAACATTTTTCCCAAAAGCAGATGATCTGGCCCAGGAGATGGAAGATGTGGACTTTGAGGAAGAGGAAGAAGAGGAAGAGGGCAATGAGGAGGGTTGGGTTCTGGAACCCCAGGAAGGGGTGGTCGGCAGCATGGAGGGCCCTGATGACAGCGAGGTCACCTTTGCCTTGCACTCAGGTAGGAGGTGAACACTTTTAACTCAGGCCAGGTGGGCATTTTAGCGTTGCACGTTTGCTGCCTGCAGAGCATCATGAGAGACAGGAATGATGCCGGCCTTGTCCTGCAGGAGCTCGCTGGCAGGGAGCGTGTGGTCGCATGGTACTGGAATCAGTTGAGACTTGAGTTCAAGTCTGCTGCTTACCACTTTACTCCCTTTATAAACCATGCTGGGTCTTAGTTTTCTTTTTCTTTTTCTTTCTTTTTTTTTGGTACTGGGGATCGAACTCGGGTCCTTGCTTAGTTTTCTTTTAATAAGTTATCTTTGATGAAAGTCAAAGTAAGTCAACTGAAGGGAAATTAGAGGAATTTACAGTCTTTAAAACATGTACGTTTTTGGCCAGGCCTGGTGACACATGCCTGTAAGGAGGAGGCTGAGGCAGGAGGACTGAAAGTGTGAGCGTAGCCTGGGTAACTTAGCCAGACCCTGACTCGAAGTAAAATTGAAAAATGGGCTGGGGATGTAGCTTACTGTGAAGGCCCTGACTTCAGTCTGCAAAAACAAAATCAAAAACAAAACACTTAAGTCCTTTTGAGTCTATTTTATGTAACCTCACCAGAAGCTCTGAGTAAGAAGCCAGTAACACATGCTCTCCTTACTCTGTGGTCCCCGGCCTGGTGGCGTCCCATGCTGCTGACTGTAAGGCCTGCACAAGTGCACACCTCTGGTCTGTGGGGGAGGTAAGGGAATAGGACAGTAAGGGATCTGCCCTGGAGAAGGACTTGGAGCTCAGCAGGCTTAGGGAAGGATTTCTCTAACAACCTCATGCTTGAAACTTAGAACTTGGATGCACCCTTCGCTTTCTGGAGGGAAGACATTGTTTTGGGTGAAAGCAGTGGGGCTTCCTGAAGGTGCTGAAAGGACAGAACTCTGGCGGGAGCCCTGTCTCCTCACCCTTGGAATACCTTATCTCTTGGGACAGCATCTGTGTTTTGTGTGAGCCTGGACCCCAAGACCAACACCTTGGCGGTGACGGGGGGTGAAGATGACAAAGCCTTTGTGTGGAGGCTCAGTGATGGGGAGCTGCTCTTCGAGTGTGCAGGTGAGGGACCTGGTGCTGGGACCTGAGTGGGGTGTCATGTAGCTTTGGAGATGGTAGGGGTGGCCTAGAGTGGTCGAGCACCCTTTGGACAACCCATTACTGACCTTTGTTTAGGGCCAGCTCTGGCACGGCCCCTGGAACACAGAGAGTAATAACGTAGCCTTAGGCACGTTGGCCCAGGGAGTCTAGAAAGGCCTGAAAGGCGATGGCACTGGTGTAGGCCTAAGTAGGCGGAGGGAAGGATGTGGAGTTTCAGGCAGAGGTGTACAGGGGACAGAATGGGCGAGGCACAGGAGGCTGGGCTTGCATGACTGAGGGGCTAGCAGGTTCTCTCTTGGGGAGACCTGGAGCTCTTGTTGGTTCCTGGAGCTGCAGAGAATTTGGTCACCTATTCTGCTGAGATCCACCTGCCTTTTTTTCCTAGCTGGTCCTTTCAGGGGGCTAGGTACCTGGGTCAGGTGTCCCCAGCACTAGGTACCCTATTGTTTTCTTCTCTACCCACTTTTCTTTTCAGGCCATAAAGACTCTGTGACTTGTGCTGGTTTCAGCCACGATTCCACCCTGGTGGCCACAGGGGACATGAGTGGTCTCTTGAAAGTGTGGCAGGTGGACACCAAGGAGGAGGTCTGGTCCTTTGAAGCAGGAGACCTGGAGGTGAGATCCTCAGCGTAGGGTTCAACTCTGTGGGACCTCGGGTAGGGATGAGAGCCTCAGGGGCCAGTCCCACCTCCACTGCACCAGTGTATTCCAAGGTACAGCAGCAGTGTCTGCACCCATCACCTGGAAAGGTCCCGCTGACTCCAGGGTCAGGGAGGCCTTTGAAGGGGTTATGGGGAGGCTCCCAGGTGGCATGGGTGACGGGCCTCCCTGCTGACCCTTCCTCTCTGGCCAGTGGATGGAGTGGCACCCTCGGGCACCTGTCCTACTGGCGGGCACAGCTGATGGCAACACCTGGATGTGGAAGGTCCCAAATGGTGACTGCAAGACTTTCCAGGGCCCCAACTGCCCAGCCACCTGTGGTCGTGTCCTTCCTGATGGTGAGAGCAGCTGTTCAGGGTCCCCTCCTGGGTGCAGAGGTGGAGCCGGGGTTACGCACCTCCCTGAACTCTCTCCTGGGCCCCAGCTGGCCAACTCAGGCCTGCTTAGGGGCTCAAAGCCAGTGGCTCCGAGCTGGGTTTCGCCCCTGATTCATGGGGCAGTGTCTATGCCCTTACTCTTCTCTTCCCCTGCCCCGGTGCCCTCGTGTGGTGTCTCATGTGCCCTCTGCCTTCTCCTCGCTGCTTCCTCTGGCCCTTTAGGGAAGAGAGCTGTGGTAGGCCATGAAGATGGCACCATCAGGATTTGGGACCTGAAGCAGGGAAACCCCGTCCATGTACTGAAAGGTATCAGAGGCAGGAATTTGTGGGGGAGGTCTGTGAACCAGGGGCCGGACTCAGTGCCTGACCTGTTGCTCCACTTCTTCCCAGGGACTGAGGGTCACCAGGGCCCTCTGACCTGTGTCGCTACCAACCAGGATGGCAGCCTGATCCTTACTGGCTCTGTGGACTGCCAGGCCAAGCTGGTCAGTGCCACCACTGGCAAGGTGAGTGGACCCAGAGCCTGCTGCGGGCCTCTGCTTTCCGGAGTCACCTGCCCTTCCTTTTTCACTCTTGCTGCCTTTCCTTTCTGTTGGGACACTGAGAGTCCAGCCTTGTCTGACCCTCTGCTCTTGCTGACAGGTGGTGGGTGTTTTCAGACCAGAGACTGTGGCCTCCCAGCCCAACTTGGGAGAAGGGGAGGAGAGTGAGTCCAACTCGGTGGAGTCCTTGGGCTTCTGCAGTGTGTGAGTGTGAGCTAGGGCCTGGGGCTGGAGACCAGAGGGGCTGGGGAGAGGGAGGCTTGTGGGAGGCCTTGGGCTGGGGGACCAGAAAGGAGGCAGGGCCCGTGTGTCCAGGGTCTCATGAGCTGTCCTGGTGCTCCCCACTGCTCAGGATGCCTCTGGCGGCTGTTGGCTACCTGGATGGAACCTTGGCCATCTATGACCTGTCCACGCAGACTCTCAGGCACCAGTGTCAGCACCAGGTAGGGGGCCGTGTGCATGGCCATAGGGAAGCCCAGGCCTCAGGACCATCTGCCCAGACCTGCTCGGTCCTTCACGCTGACCCTCCCTCCATCCCTCCCTGAGAGATGGGAGCAGATGTCCCTCCTCTCCCACCTCTGACCTCTGCCCTTTGCCCTGCCTCTGTCATATCCCGGGCAGTCGGGCATTGTGCAGCTCCTGTGGGAGGCCGGCACCGCCGTGGTTTATACCTGCAGCCTGGATGGCATTGTGCGCCTCTGGGATGCCCGGACTGGCCGCCTGCTCACAGACTACCGAGGCCACACTGCCGAGATCCTGGACTTTGCCCTCAGCAAGTAAGTGAAGTGGACAGGGCTGGGATCTTGTATATTTGGAAAGTGGACTATTGTGGGGGATATGGGGACTTTGGAGGGTGACGGGTTCTTCAGGCAAGTGAGACCCAAGGCCTGGCTTTAGTCTGCAAGGCAGGTGTGCTGGGAAGCCTGAGGGTTCACAGCCCAGGAAGTCATCACTTCTGATGCAGCCCCATCCCAGTGGTTGGCCGTGTCCTCCCGGGTCTCACGTCCCAGGCATGGGGTGGAGGCAGAGACTGGTCCTCTGTCCCCCTCAGCTCTGTTTCCCCCTCCCGTGATATCCCTGCTGGTTGCACAGATGCAACCACAGCGCTTGGCACTGGGGACCTAGGATGGCAGGTGTGCTGGAGAAGCCCGCCTTAGGGCCCCTGGGAAGTGGGTTTGGGTCTGGGCCCCAGGTTCCTCACACCCTTCAACCCTGTGCTTTCTGTCCACAGAGATGCCTCCCTGGTGGTGACCACCTCAGGCGACCACAAGGCGAAAGTATTTTGTGTCCAGAGACCCGACCGTTAATGGCTGCAGCCTCTGGCTAGGTGTCTGGTGTTGAGGTTGATGAAGGGTGAACCCTTTTCCCCCTCCAGCTGAGGCACAGGGTACAGAGGAAAGAGGAAGGGAGGGGATTCAACTACTTTCCCACCCCTTCAGCCGACTTGGCCCTCTCTGTCCTTTTCTCCTCGTTAGACCCACCCTGGGGCCTGTCCTTTCCCATCGCCCAGCCCTGGGGCCCTTCGAGGGAGGGTGATTCTTTCTCTTTCACTTGCTGGTGTGAGCCATGGGGTAAATATTTGTATGTGGGGAGTAGGTCTTTGAGGTTCCCGTTCTTTCCCTTCCCAAGTCTATGGGGATGGAAAGGAGGAAGAGATACTAGTTACAGATTTTAAAAATGTAAATAAAATATACTTCCCAGAGGCAGTGTCTGTGTGGATTTTGTGGCAACTGGACTCGAGTTAGCGAAGGCTGTGTGGGGGTGAGGCTCCCCCAGCTGCTGGAGGTCAAGGTTCGTAGCCTGCTGTCTCTGAGTGGTTTGTTCGAATTGACAGCTGCTTGCTTGTTTGGAGGTGGAATCTCCTTCACTTCATGAGTCCATCTGTAGGTTCTCTTTGGGGCTCTTCCACCTACTCCCCTTTTGGAAATATGGATAGAGATAAGCTTTAAAGGGCCAGCCAAGTTTTATTCCACCTGGGTGGGGTCCAATGAGGTGGAGTCTCTGATCCAGAAAGGTGGGGACGAAGGCACCTGGTGGCTGAGATGGTCTGATGCTTCTAGGAGTCAGCAGCAGGCCCTCTGCTAGTTCAAGTCCAGGTCAACGCTGCTTTGGCTGCTGGTGTGGTAGGCAGTGCTGGGGCCGGGACTGTCCCTTGAGGCTCTTCTCTGAAGCACTTGCAGCCACCTTTGGGCGGCCGCCCTCCAGGGGGCTGTGTAGCGCTGGTCGCCTAGACCCATGGCCACTGGCACGGCCGCTGCACTGGCACTGCTCAGTGAGATGAGGGACAACAGAGTTCCAGGCCCTAGGGGTGGGCGTCTCTCATAGGCTTGGACAGACAGGAGCAAGGTGGCCACGTAGGGCCCCCAGCACAGCCCAAAGAGCAGTGTGGCCCCAGCCTGGGCCCTGGCCTGCCTCCAGGTGAGGGTCCGGGCCAAGGTGGAGGGTGCATTGCGGCACACTGCCCGCTCAAGCCGGCGGATCTCCTGCAGCTGGCGGTGGGCGGTGGCCAGCACTCGGACAGAGAGAAGGGCGGCAGCCCCCACAGCAGGCAGCAGGAGCCCATAGACTTCGAGGTAGAGGTAGGGGGCCGGGAAGACAGACTGGGAGCTGCAGTTGGCACCAGGGCTCCAGTGGTTCCAACCTAGTGCAGGAAGGCTGCCAAAGATTAGGGAGGCTGCCCAGGTGAAGAGCAGGGCCAGCCGAGTGCTCCCACGGGGCCGGAGTGGCTGGAGCACTGCCACATAGCGCTCTCCATGCACCAGCAGCAGGTTAGCAAGCAGAGAGAGGAAGGTGAAGTTGGGAGTCAAGTAGAGGAGGAGGCAGGACCAGTAGCCCCGGCGCCTTTGGTTCCACAACCCTGGCAGGATGGGCAGTGCCAGCCCTGTGAGCACTCCGGCCAGCAGCAGGCTCAGGAAGAAGCAGCCTGCGGGTTGGCTGCGCAGATGGTGGTCCCAGGAGATGCCCAGGGCCAGGAGCAGGTTGGCAACAACAATGAGACTTGCCAGGGCCAGGTAGAGCCCCAGGGCCACCGAAGGAATGGGGCTGGACTCCTCCCTGGTGCTGTTGGGTGTCATTGCGGGCCTTGGGATGAAATAGGCCTGGAGTGGCAGCTGGCATGCCTGGATAGGGCAGGGGGTGGCCAGAGTTAGGATGGGGCTGCACGTTAATCAGAGGTGCCAGACCTGCCGACTGTGGGCCCCAGCCTGTTTGCTGACACACTGATTCAATTAGTTGCCAATTAAAAGTCCTACTTTTGGCTTCTTTTGGAAAAGCAGGTCTGGGAACATGTATGCCCTGTATGGTAGCAGGGCAGTGCCTGTCTTTGGACAGTTCACCACAGTCCCCAGCAGCTGGGGAGCTGAGCTTATGCCTGTCTAGACTGAAAGGTGGGCCCACCCAAGGCATTCTGTCCTCTCTGCCCCATCCACCGCCGAGGCCCTCAATGAGCCCAAGAGAGGATGGGGTTTGGGTGGTGTCCTGTGGCCTCCCAACTGGCATTGTGTGAGAGGCTCCTGTGGGCCAGGTCTGGGCACAAGTGGGGTGCCCTATTCTTGCACCCTGCCCACCCCCACCCCACCCCAGTGTCTGCCACAGCCTGTTACAGCTCAGTGAGCACCTTCTGGGTAGGACTTCCAGCCCATAAACTTGACTCGCCCGATCTACACTAGCAAAAGGCCCTTCCTGGGAGCTGGAGGGAAGGGGCAGTGGTAGGGTGCTTGGCAGGGAAGGTGGGGATGCCCCAGGCCTCCAGGAGCTGAGGCCAGGCCCAGAGGATGGACCAGGAGCTGGTGGTAGGGTCCAGCTTCCCTGAGGCTCTGATCTGTCCCAGTCGGTTCTCCACTTGGCTCCCTGCTCTCAGTCCCATGGCCACATGCAGGGGTAAGGGGAGGGGTCCTGGTCCTGTGGGAGCTCCTGCCTCTGCCAACAGGGAAGCAGCTGCAGTTGCTAGGATCAGAGTCAATAAGGAAGCTTCCCCTGGGTTGGGGTCAGGATCAGAGGCATGGCCACGTGGAGCAGAGGGAGGGAGATGGCCTCTTTCCCTCCCAGCTTCCCCCAGCCCTTGAGGTTGCTCAGTGTGCCCCTTTCCGTTCCCCTCAGCCAGTTCCCTCTTCTTTAGCCTCCTCCCTGCCTTTGACCCAGGACATCTTTCCCTCTGCGGTGGCCCCCCAGTTTCTGTTCCCCTTCCTCCCTGTGCCATCAACCTTATTAAACCCCATGAGACTTGGTCTGTTATCCGAAACTTGGCCTGAGATGGACTCCCAGACCTCCCACCTACCCCAGCAACAAGAAAGAAAAGGATCAGTCCCAGGTGTGATGTCCTAGTGGGGTGTGGGCTGTTTCACCCATATATCCTGAAAGGCCTAGTAGCTTGGGCCCATGCAGTGGCCTCTTCAGGATCTGGGCTGGGGAGGAGCGAGGGGAAGGAGGGCAGCTACTCACATGGCTGTGGACAGGTGTCCCTTGTCAGCTTGGGCTTTCCTGAGTGTCGGATGCGGCCACCAGCCTTGCCGGGCTTCAGACCATGTCTGCTGTCCTGGCCAGTGAGTGCTTCCACGGGACAGCAGGGCCAGGCTCGTCTGCCCCGCTCTATCCCAGCCTGGGTTCTGGGAGGGACAGCAGCTTATGCTAGCGGGCTTAGCCTTGGCCCCACCTCCAGGGGGTGGGACTTGGCACATCTGTGAGTGGCCGCCACTGAGAGGCCACCCCTCCAGGCCCCCACTGGCTCCTCCCTGTCCTGTCCTGGTGACCCCTCCTCAGCCTTCAGCCATGCCCTGCTGCCTAGGTAGTGGTTTCCTTACCGAGGTGGTGCCCTCCACAGCGAGGAGCACTCTTGCCTGCTGCCACTGCCCAGCTAATCTGGGAAATGCATCCCAGTTAATGAATAATAATGATCGACTGCATCTGACCCCTACCTCCTGCATCAGTGAATACATCTCCATTTTATGAGCCTTTTAAACCCAGAGTGGCCAGGACTGCACAGCCAGCTTGGTGTTCCTGCCAGGGCAGCAAAGGGAAGCGTGTGCTCGGGCAAGATGGTGGCAGTTTGGGTGTCGGGCTCGAGAATCTCAGTCCTCCCCCATCTCCTGATGGGCATTTCAGCTTTAAAGCCAGCCTCACCTTCCAGAATCTGGGGTCATCAGGCATTTTTCTCAATTACTTTCCGAGTCAAGTTCTGAGCTATGTATCCAGTACAAGTGGCTCTGACAGTGGGACCTTATGCAAGCTGCTGCTGGGCCTGTTTTCCCACCCTTAAATGGGAGCGAGAGACAGCCTCTTGGGAGTGTGTGGGGACTGTCGGGAGTAACACAGGCGCACCTACACCCTGATGCTTGGCACTTGATGCAGGGGTCATCTCAACAAATGACTCTTCCTCCCTCCTCCGGGATGGTTAAGAGGAATGAGCCAGTGGGGATGAGAGCTGCAATCCTGTTTATTTTTTATAGCTGCCTGAACTTGGAAATTTCTAAACTTCACTTGCCTTCGTTTCCTCACCTCAAAATGGGGCTCACAATTGTACTCACCTCTGGTGTGACCGACATACATGAAATGGACTGGCATTTGGCGCACAGGCACTCAGAGTCGGCTGTTGTTACTGTCACTAACACTGAGGATTTCTGTCCTCTATACCTGTCCCGTCTTTGCAAGAACTCCACTGAGAAAGGCGCATAGGGAGCCTATGAAAAGCAAGGCGCTGATGCTTCTGTGCCACAGGGAAACAGAGGAAACTAGGTACAGTGAGAGAGACTGGGGGCCGGGGCTTTAACTCAGTGGTTCTGCCTGCCTCATAAGCGCAAGGTCCCGAGTTCGATCCCCCCGGTACCGGAAAAAAAAAAAAAAAAAATTGGCAAGTTCAAGGAACAGAAGCCAAGAGGTGTGGTGTGTGGTGCCCAGGTTTCCCCAAGTGTCAAGAATAACTTTGGGGTGAGGGGAGCTGCAAGCCAGCCTTGCTCAAGGCTGAAATGGAAAGGAGCAGGCTGAAATCACAGCAAGAAAGCTGGCGGTGAGATATGAGGAACAACCTTCCCACCGAAGAGCAGAGACCAATAGGATGTCTGCTCACAGGGAGACCCGGGCCCAGGGCTGGTAGCCCTAGTGGCTCCACCAGCCCTGCACAGCTGACTGGGGTCCTGAAGAGCTGGGACTTTGGTTGGGACAGAAAAGGAGAAGAGAAGAGTGGTTAGTCTCAAACTGAGCCTCCAGGGAAATGGCATGTGGCCCTCAGACCCATGCTGTCAAGTCTGGCTGTGTGGTGGCCCACATGTGATCCCAGCTACTCAACAGGCTGAGGCAGGAGGATTACAAATTCAAGGACAGTCTGGGCAATCTGGCCACACCCTGGCTCAAAATAAAAACCAAAAATGGCTGGGGGTGTATGTAGCTCAGTGGCAGAGCTCTGGGTTCAATCATAAGTACTGCCAAAAAAATAAAAAAGGCTCTGGGAAAGTTCAACTGGGAAAGTCTGGAGAGAAGTGGGTGCAGGACCCCTCAGATAACCAGACTGCCAGGAATAAACAGTCTCTGTTCCCAGACCTGGCCTCTTCCCCAAGGGATACAGGACATCTGCGTTTCTTTGCCGCTGCTCTGTCTAAACACTGTGTGTGGCACTGGCATGACACGTGAAGGCAGAGGACTCAGGCGAGCCGAGCGGAGGCGGGGAGACTGGGTTCTATCCTGACTCAGTCCTGCTTCCTCTCTGCATCTCTATGGAGTCCTCCTCGGCTGACTCACCCCCAGCCTTTGTCCCTTCACCCAGAGGGCTCTAGCAAGTTCCCAGACACCATCTAGCTGGCTGTGTCCTGGGCCTGCTCTCTCTCTTGATGTAGAGCATGTGTTACGGTGACCAATCCAGACTCTGGCTCTTTGTCAACTGCCATTCTTGTGGATATCAGCTTCTCTTCTGGGCTCCGAAGTCTGGGACTAGATGGTTGTGCATGTGAGGCCCAAAGGCAGTCACTCACTCGACCAAAGGAGGTAATGAAGGGAAGGGGGCTTCCTGGCTGCTGGCTCCTCTTCACCCACAGGCAAAAGCAGATGAGTCCTTTAGATCTAAGACCCAGAGACTAGCCAGGATTCTAGCTTCAGGAAGCCTCCAGTCAGCTGTTTAGGGAGAAGACACCCTGTCTTTGTTAGGTCCAAATGGCCAGACTGGACTGAGGGTCATAGCTCAGTGGTAGAGCACAAACCTAGGCCATGTGAGGCCTTGGGTTTGATTTCCAGCGTGGCCCAAAAGGTGGTGAGACGCCCCACATCTGGGCTGGCTGGCTGGGTCAGATAGTAACTCCAAGAGCACAAATTGCAGTGTTTTTGGTAATCCCCCGAAGGGGGCAGCATTGCCCAGACTGAAATTTGGCACTAGAAGGGACCCAGCTAGATAGAGTACATGGCAGCAGCTGCTGGGTCAAGAGTACAATGAAGATGGGTCCTTGATTGAAGGCAACAGAATGGCCACTGCCACATTATCAGCTTCCACAAGAAGCCTGCTGCAGCAGCCAGGCTGTTTCCTTTCCTGGTTTTGCACCCTCTTCAACTTCCTGTTATAATCTTGATTTCTTTTCCTGCCAAGCTTCTCCTTCATTACTTGCCCAGGTCCTACTTCACCCGGATATGAAGACTCCCAACCTCTCTGTGCCAGTGAAATCCACTGCCCTCTGCAATAAGGCCCATTGCAGGGAAAGTGTAACTATCTTGGGGAAGGCTTGGAAAATCCCAAGCCAGAATGAGGCTTTCCTTATGGTAGACTTTGCTCCTCAATAATCTCCCCACTTCCTGATCCTCTTCAGGGTCTAAAGGGAACTAAGATTTATTTAATGGCACTAGAAATTACAATGATAAGGCTGGAGGGTATAGCTCAGCGGTAAAGCACTTGCATTATAGATGTCTTAAATGCGACAGGTATTTACTTGTTTTCCCCCTGTAAAAAGCCTGTGGGTTCAATGCCTGGTACGGGGAGCGGGGGGGCCCCTGTGGGGTAGGTGGCACTAGTCCAACTAAAGGTGAGGCTACCTGGGGCTCAGATTAGGAAATGTTCTGTTACAGATTTCTTTGGTTGTAGAACCTGAACCCAAAAAGAAGTCTAAAACCTTGCTGTGTACTTGCATAGCTCCAATGTAAGGACATCTACGCCTCTCAGGTGTGGCCCTCCAGGCAAGTGATCCAGTTAGCAGTCTGGACCACTTTTAGCCAGCCTGTACCCCTGGTGTGCCAGACCCATCAGAGATGTCCCTCCTCCCAGTCCTAAGGGGACATCACTTTTGCTGACAGAGTAAGGGTCTTGAGACTAGGTCCATGCCAAGGACAACAGGTTAGGACAAAGAAATGGGTGTTGGGTTGGTGACTTAGCTCACTGGTTTCGCTGCCTGCTGTGCAAGGACCCAAGTTCGATCCCCAGTACCAAAAAAAAAAAAGTGGGTGTAGTGGCCCATGCCTGTGATCCCAGCACTCGGGAAGTTGAGGCAGGAGATCACTGAGTTTGGCCTGGGCTACACAGTGAATTCAAGATGAGCTTAAACTACATACCAAGACCCTGTCTCAAAAAAAAGAGAGAAAAGGATGAGCCTCAATAAGGGTTTACGTCAGCATGGCTTTTTTTTTTTTTGGGAGGTAGGGTCTTGCTATGTAGTTCAGGCTGGCCTCAAACTCAGTAGTTTTCCTGCCTCTGCCTCCCAAGTGCTGAGATTATAGGCAAGTGCCACCATGGCCCAGCTTCAGCACAGGCTTCTGGTTTTTAACACTGACAAAGCATCCTGGAAGTCACATGAATGGAAAAACTGCCACTAGTCAAAATTATTGAGAGCCCCTTAAAATAACTCATGGGGTCCAGAACACATGTCACTACCCCTCAGTATACTTATTTATATGTAGCTGGGTTTTCTAGCTATTTGAGGTTTAGAGAGAAGCAGTTCACCAGTCCCATCCTGGTGTGTATACTGTAACTAGAGCACACCCCAAGTCAATACTGACTTAGCCCACGCTACTGCACTTTCTTTCGGGGCTGGGGATTAAACCCAGGGCCTCATGCATGCTCCACCAGTGCTCTACCTACGACACAGCTTCACCCCCGGCCCTGTACTATTTCATTTTAAAAAACTGCTGGTGACAAAGCTACACATGTGAAAAAAAATATGCATAAAAGTACATAAAATGGACAGATTATGTAAACTGGTGCAACGTGAAGAGGGTCGACAGTCCATACCAATGTCACCTTCCTGGTTGTGTTCCTCCTATAAACCATTCAAAGCGTCACCACCAGGGATATTAGATGAAGTGTACAAGGGATTTTAAGGTATTCTTTCTGACAGCTATATGTGAATCTACAGTTACCTCAAAATAAAAAGTTTAGGATATAGAAATCATCTTGCCCAGAATAGAAAAAAAAACAAAGTAGGAAGGCAGAAATTAGGACAGCTCTCAGACCATTTCAGATGCCCCCAAATTCTCCAAGCAATTCCTTAATAAAGTTTTCAGAATCAGTTTCATTTTAGGGATTGTGTTCTGCTAGGAGAGAGTGTACTCTGCTGGGCTCCCTGCTATTTGTGAGGCAGGCACCTCACAAGGGCAGCTTTGCAGGTCCATCTTTTGGGAGCTGCATGAGGAAAGGAACTGTGGCCAGTGAGTGTGC